TGTCATTATTATCAATAAAATTCATAATAAAAATTATTTCTAGTCAAAAGCAAAAAAATTATTAGTAAAAAATGAATGTACCTCAATATCGGCTATCTAATAAAATCAACGACAGCGAAAACATCATTTCATGAGATCAAAGTGCGCGCACGCGTTCGATACATCGGATTAAAATAAACCACTGGCACCCAGATCTTTAGAAATTCTAACGATATTTCCAAAATATTTTCCTCGATCACCGACCTTCAGTACGATTTGCGATGCAGCCGCGAATCACGTTTAAGTGTGTACCGGCGAAATCCGCACTCCCCAGGTTCCTCGGTATCACTCACTCCGACAGACGCGGGTGCTCGTACTGACACGCTTATTTTCAGTCGAGCCTAAAAATATCATCGATTTTCGACCTCCTCTCCCTCTTTCTTTCTTTCTTTCCTTTCTCTATTTATCTTTTCAAGCCCATACGCATGTGGCAACAAGAGCCGCGGAGAAGCTTTTATCAAGTCGACTGCCTTTTCATACGTAACAGCTTATAGTACGCACGCGAAGAATGTACTTTTTGTTATTCAATTTTTTTTTTTTTTTTTTTTCTTCTTGTAGTGAAAGAAAGACTTTACGAATTCGTCATGCGGTCAAGAGGTATACACATACATGTGTGTATGTAGAAAAAAAGCACGATAAGCTCCGTTTGATGGATATACGCTCTACCTCATTCAGAGTCTCGTGAAGATGAAGTAACATTTTTTTTTTCCTTTTTTGTTTCTTTTATCCTCTCTTTCCTTGTGTTAACTCAATCTATTGCTGACGAAAACACTATACGTTTATCAACTTTTTTATGCTGATAATCGGCTAAAGTATATTTGTCAATTTGGCAAGTAAAATTTTTTTGTAAATATTACACCTCTGGAAAATCTTGTATAAATCATTAGTCTTTTCGTTATTCACGCTTCAACCAGCTCATAGTTCAGACAGTACTTTTTCAATGGAAGATAATTTTTGAGATTCAGAGTGTCAGTTCAAATGGCCCCACACACATGTTACATTTTTATCCCCCATTGTTTGGTTGTTTGTTTACATTTTTTTGTCAATGAACTGATTTAACTTATTTTTACGCTAGATTATTTCACTCCCTGGTATGATGAAAAACTCAATGGCAAACTAAGACACCCTCATAAATATGTATGCTAACAATGCCTTTTATTAAGCTTAGCAAAAGTTTATTTCCAACTTTAAACAGCAGCTTTCGAGGCAACTGTTGGTACGGCAGTTCTCAGATGCATCAAAGGAAATGGAATAATTTTACTTTTTTACGTCATAACGACATAAATACGTCAAAAAAAAAAAAAAAAAAAAAAAAAAAAAAAAAAAAAAAAAAAAAAAAAAAAAAAAAAAAAAATCTGAACGGCAAAGCAGCTCCACCGTACCCAGTTTAAAATTCAAATTGCCATTGAAATGTTTTTTGCTCGTTGAGCATAAACGAAAAAGAGAAGCCCTGAATTTAACGAAAGACTCTGCTCACCTATAGGCCAAGTCTCTTGTCAGTGGACCCTATATTTTATCCCTAGAAAACCAGACCACTACGTACGTCGCTCGTTGGCCCACGGATATTATACACTGTTTGTTGTCATGATCAGTGCACTGACCAATATCCGCAAGGTGGAAAAACTCGAGAAAATAGATGAAGCTGCACTGGTGAGAGAGCACTGGCCGAAAAGTAGGGTCCCCCCCGCATAGACGCAATAAACTTAGAGAAACATATCCCGGACACGTATAGGGGCAGACTCGAAGGCAGAGACTGCGGCTCGTGCGTAGATATCGCGGAAAATCCGAGGAAGAGAAGGAGGCGGTGACAGAGAGTTTGTGTCGGGGAACACATGACGCGCGTCTGCATTTTCGCTCTCTGTTCTATACGCTCCGCCGTCGTCATCTCGCTCTTGTATCTAAACTGCGGTGAGTGGGGCAAAATGATTTCGTGGGCTTATCTAATGAAAAAGCCTTGTGAGCGCTGCAGCTGTCAATTTGGGAAAATGAGTCTTTAGCGCTTGATTGGAGACGCTTTGGTATGAGAATAAACTCCGGCGTGATTCTCAGTTTTAAGAGTGTGAGGTATTATCTCGAGTTTTTTTCATACAAGTAAAGGATTATTATTTCAAACTATAAAATCTCAATTTGATGAACAACAGAAAGGAAAATTGTACAATTTGTTTGATTAGGGAATATCAAAAGAATCATCAATAAAAATGAGGTAGCTTTTGCTTTTCAAATGATACTGTAAACTCGAACCTCCTCAAGCTCAAAATAGAGATAATAGACCGTCTTTTCCTTTAATTCAGAAATTTTTCATAAAATTTATCAAACCGTACCATGTTTACTTAACAAATACGAACTACAGCTATTACCTACATTAAAACTAAACTCTAAAAAATTATGGGAAATTTTAAAACTGTGGATAATTCCATTTCAATCATTTTTACAGTACCAGCTAACTGGTAAATTGTATAAAAAAATAAACCAAAACATACATTGATTAGTATTGTTTTAGCTTCATCTTTTTTAAATATATTTGACATACACTTCAAAACATGAACTTTCTGTTGCTAAAAAATTTTTTTTCAGTACGTACTATGATGGATAAAAATTTTATGGGATGTACGACTGATACTTAATATTGAACGTTATGTGCACAAAAATAAAATAAATAGTGAGCTCGTGAAAAATGTATGGGTCATTTTAATTCCATTCAAAGAAATTGTATCTTTCAATCGTGTAGGTAAGAATGTTAACGGTGATGTTAATCTACAACGATCGTCTTTAGTATACACATGCGGTCTATTGTACACATAAGTTGACCTTCTAGTTTCAGCTGATGGATAAACTTGATTAGTTCAACAAAAACACAATTAATATCTTCTTCTCAAGATCATTCGTGTAATTAAAATGTCTGTCAACTAGTCCCGCGTATACCATGGAATAATTACACCCAATGTATACATGTATCATTTACTCACTTGAGGGAGAGTGAACCGTTTGTGCTTCTCTCCAGGGAGCAAAGGCAATAAATGTATTACAACCAAAGCAAACACACCCCGCTGTCGGTGATACGCAACCTCCGACGTCCGTCAGGCCACTTCTTTTTTTTCTCTCACCGAACAAATTGGAAGTCAGATCGGCGGTAATCAAGAAAAATGTAGACTCACCCTATTGAAAACTCAACTCGGACCAAGTTGCGCTCTCCTGAGAATTATTGGCTCTTTTTTCCGATTTGCTTCTACTTGGCGCTGATCACGTGTAATCAAATGAATCGGAAAAGGCGTGAAAAATAATTTATCCCAATTAACTTTGGAGGTGCGTGCAAAGAGATATGACCGACGACGCGCTACTATTGCCTCTGACGCACTCGATTCGTCATGTGCGTATGGAGATATCGCGGTATCAGTTGCGGAAAGTTTTTCGGCAATAAATTACGTGGCAATAAAAAAAAAAAATAAAAAAACATCCACTCTGTAAAAAGCTCGTTCTGATGAACCATAAATTAGCGCTCCTTTTGGCCAAGCCATGGTGTTATCTTTCGTTGGCTACAAGTTACTAGCTGTTAGTAATACAAACACAACTTTTAATTAACCCTCCGTATATTTTGCCGCTCTGACGAAAAATAAACTTTTCCACCTGCCTGACGATACAAATGTAATTTAGGACGATGTCAAGGACATAAACGACACTCCAGTCGACGAACATTCATACCTCTGAAAATCTCAGGAAAAAAGCATTATCTCGGAAGAAATCGCTTCGAATTGTTATTTTTCTGAAACAATTCAAAGAGCAAATGCTTATCGCCTAAAATTAAAAAAAAAAGTGTGTTATTCATGTACTCATAAATTAACAATCACTTGACATTCCGACAATTGGCGAGAACAACGCGTAAAGGACGAAAAAAAAAAAAAAAAAAAAAAACTTGGTTTTTTAATACTGAAAATAGACGCCACTTTCCATACACACACCCCAGAGAGAGGCCAGTCCCTCGTGAATCGCGTCCATGGCGTGGTCGGTAATACGCGCTTTGTCGGATTATCATACACGGCCAATTATGCAGGAGCATTCAAAGCACTCTCCGTCAACACAAGCTCTTTGCGCGCTTTTCAACATACAAAGCTCACCTCGCGCAACAGAAGCAGCTTCTCATGTAGCGTGTTGTTGCCGATTCGTGTGTGTATGCACGCACACGTGTGACACTATAGTACGCGAATTACGCGAGCGATCACGCTGCTGGTGGGCGCTTTTGAATGCGGTGTTATTCACGAATGTCATGCGTATGTGCGTTGGTATATACGGGTTGTACGTGCACATGAGTATGAGACGAAAGAAAGGGATGGAGAACAGGAAACGAGCACTTGTTACCTATATATATATATATATATATATATCGATACCCATACCTACATATGTGGGTGCTCTACCACCTTTGAGCTCAGCTTCTTATGTTTTTATGACGTCCACCATCAATGTCACTCGTATACACGCACGTGCAGGTATACGTGGATCAAACGCGCCTACCATGGACTACGTGTTCGGAGAGTCTCATCCTGCTTGTTTGTACATACGTAAACGTAACACGGGGTGTAATTTCGCTAAAAGCACACAAGCTCCGGTGTGCAAGGATTAATTCTATTTCGGTGCCTCTGGGAGATGGGAGCTAAAGTGCCCACTCTAAGTGCGCGCTCGTGTGTGACGCACTAGCCGTTTCTTTGCCTCTCTGACTAAGGGCAAGGTGAAGCGTGCAATAACCATTGAAAACGTTGTACCTACTAGTAGTTTTTATATTTCAAAGTTACTAATAACATGAAAATTGCGTGAAAAATTGCAAGGCAAAGTTAATTAAATTGCATTATTGGATTTTCAATAAACTCTAACTGTAATGAATACAATGCCTTTTGTTCAACATTGCTGAGCTCGTTATGTTATCCTTCGAGAGAGCTATTATTAATTCTGCTAATTCAGGTAGCTTTTCGTTTTCAATATTTGTTGATTTTTTTTTTAATTCTGAGTCCCTGAATTTTCGCAATCATCACTTTTTATCGTACAGTCACCAGATTTATATCATTTATATAACTCTTTATGTTGGTGATTTTGACTTTTCATTTGACTCTAACTCGTTATCTCTAAATCCATCCATCCATCCCTCTATTTTATTCTATCTCTAAGTCTCTGCATATATACATATATATGAAAAGTGGTATGGATACATCTATGTACACATTTCTAAATCTCTTTTATTTATATTCCAACTCTTTGCTTGTCATCCCGTTTTTTATTGCTTTTCTTACATCTATGTGGATTATAGTTACATTTCTTCGTGTCATTATCCTCTGACTTTCTATAACTAAGTCTCTGAATGATTAGATTTTTATTGTGTCCAGTTTTTTGTTAACTACTCTTGGTATCACTTTTTCTATACTTTTGACTGCATACGTATATTCGTGTATTTATCATCCTCAATTTTTAAATATTTTTTTTAGAACTTTGTGTCTCCATATACCTATCTTCGTGCCATAACAACCATATCTCTCTGCCTTTCTCGCTGAACTTCGATGTACTTGTATTAAATCTGAGTGTCGCCAGTGTCTTTAATCTTTTATCACTTAGTTTTGTCACCCACCCTCTTTAACCGAAAGTTTATCATCTCTATGTCCCGATCTCGTATCTCTATACCTATTTAAATAATCTAATTCGTCTAATTATAAATTTGCGACTATCTTTCATGTTGCCTCTGTTTCTATAACTGCTATAGCTTTTGATTCCATTTATTTTTTAATATTTTTATCATACCTATTTTTAAAGCTATATCTATGTGTTAGTTTTTTTGTAATTTATTTTTCTACTCATTTATTTTATTTAATGTCTGCTAAATATTTTATAACACTT